AAAAAAGAAGAAAATGAAACTGCACCATTAGGAAAATCCTTGCGTATGTGTCACTTCAAACGAGGGTTAAACATCAAGATTATTAGCATTTACACTGTCTTATTGAACAGCGTGCAAAAAAAACTATTTATTTCATCAGTCAGCTCGCCTTGTGCAATTCTGTCCCCCTTGGGCAGCATTCTGCTCCCTCGAATTTGATTGCACCTCTTTATCATCCTTTCCAGCATCCTGAATCTGGGAGTCTGTTGAGGAATCTGACAGTGAACTCTCAGAAGTGATGGCACCAGAGCAGGCTTCGCCATCCTCGCCATGGAAGAACCTAGACAGAGACAGGGGGTTGTAAGTAGAGCTGGCTTTCCGAAGGCCCTGTATTGCTTTCATAGCTGCGAGTGTGCTTCTGTAAACATCGACGGTTTCCACATCGCGGGATGATGTTGGGTCACACCTAGCCACATCATGTGGTTCCAGATTTGAGGATGAACTAGGCTCAAGAACTTCTGCTTCTACCGGGAAAAGAAGTTCAAGATTAGCTTCGCATTCTCGAACAAGCCTTGTTAAAGGTTCGGTGGTGAAAAATGGCTGGTGACGGACACGCTGAGTGAAAGGCAAGCTAAGCACACCACCTGTTCTCTTGTCATACTTCTTCAGTATCTTCACTAGTCCTGCATGTACAGCACATAGGACACATTAGAAGCCAAGGCATTACTACTAGAATACTGCAGATTGACCAACTTGGTATGATGTGCTAACCAGCAAAATTTAGGGAGCTGTAGGTTTGCAGAAGAATCATTTCACCATGTATGATCACAAAATCCTTGCGTATCTCTAACATTTCTTCAGTAAATTCACTCCTGGATGTAAAAGCATCATTCTTCTTAGCTTTGACACGCTCAATCCTCTCCTTGAGCACCTTCGAGAAACAAGGACAGAAAGGGTTAGAATGACAGCTCCAATCCAAGGAAGTGACAAAGAAAGGCAATTAACTGATAAAAAAAGGAGAACAAGAGGACAAATCTAGATAAATTTACTGTCTAATCACATTGTCTGATAAATAAGGGGAAGAAAAGGACACATCGTCGCGACATGAAAGACATTTTCCTCCCAACATTCAATGAAAACGTTCTCTTTATTAAAAAAAGGAAAACATTTCTAGAATGGTTACCGATGCATTTATGATAATCTTTCCTCTATGGCATCAGAACATTCTAAGATCTAAAGCTACAGCAATTTGTCAATATTTTAGTCCATAATGTATCCAGCACCAGACCATAGGTGACCAAGGATGGAGTGCCTAGACCAAAGGACATAGATACTTTCAGGCAGAGATTGAGAGTTGCAAATATCGCTCATTCCTAGAGAGACTATTGAGGCAAACAAATTTTGAGGAAATGGAAGAGCAGCCTAAGCTACACCCACTTTCTTTGGATGAAAAACTTTTTCTGTGCGTCAATATAGTTCCTCATGCAAGTCAGCAACTGTTTTGCAACACTAGGTGCGATCACTGTATAAATGACTAAAACATCTCCTCATAGTAACCTTAAGTTTCTTTTGCTGGGTGAAAGTCAGTTAATGGGCCATTTTGGTATATACATGACAAATCTGGTCATCAGTGATATTCTCGCAAACAAAAATTCGATTTTCAGTTGATTATAATACAAAATAACTATTGCTGGATCAACTGTGCTACTCATATAGTCATATACCATATCATCTGTGCACCTTGACATCAAATGCAATCTTAGATATAATCAAGGCTTTAGAAATATAGCTCATGTCATGGAAAAGTAAGTAAAATTGTCCAGCAGCATGCTCGCGTCATTGCAAAAACAGTGTGGCTGTGCGGGCAATTCCAGTCAGTGTTATGTGTTTTGAGATAACGAGTCAGTGTTCCATGTTGACTTGAGCTAGCATGCCTAAGTTGATTGACCTTATGCAAACTTGAGACATTAGGGCCACTACGTGGATGTGATGTACTAGTATACTATCACTGTAGAAATTAATTTGGCCTAGCAAATTTGCTACTTAATACTTTGATAAGCATATATATAGTAATGCACAACAGAACGGGAAGGCCTCTTCCATACATAAAGCATTTGAGGTATCCATTTGGTTCAGAACGGGGTCATCAACAAAAGACATGTACGAAGAAGGTATAAAGAATTAGAGTAAGGATTGGACCAATAAGCCCAGTTTTCTACCCACAATTAATCATGAACTGGCCACTCACTCCGAACTGAACAGGCCCGTGAACATACTTAATCGCCAGAGACAGCATATGTTAAAACTTGTACCCATGATCGATTTAACCATTAGTACATAAACCCACTGCACATGACGTAATCAATCAATGGATCAACAAGGGATCGGGCGTAACTCCGACATCAATTGGATGCCCCCACACCACGTCAGATAGACAAGCGGTGGCAAGATTTGGCGCGCACCTGGAGGCGGATGACGTACCACTCCTCCCTCTCGATGTAGAACTCGTTGAGCTTGTACAGCTCCGCGTCGAGGATTCTGGCGAACCAATTCCCCAGGTCGACGTTCCCCTGCGCGGCGGCCACAGCCCCCGGCCCCGGCCCCTCGGCGGCGGCGGCGGCGGGGGGAGGAGGAGGAAGAGGAGGGGCCGCCGCGGGCTCGGGTGGTACCAGGTTCTTGATGAGCTTCTTGAGGGCCTTGTAGGCGAGGTACTTGTCCCTCCACGCCGGCAGCGTCTCCTCCAGGTGGTTCCGGAAATCCTTCCCGAACTTCATCCCGCGGCGGATGGCCGCGACTCTCTCTCCCTCCTCCCACACGATCCCTTCCTTAATATCAGAGATTCGTCGTTCCGGTCTCTTTATAGAGGGTTCCCCTCCTCGGTGGGAGCGGAGGAGGGGGGTGTTTCGGGCGGGGTCGCGGGGAGGACGGCGAGGGGAGAAGGAAGGGAGGAAGGAAGAGGCAGTGGAGGCAGAGGGGCCGGCCGGATGGGATGATTGGGTGGGTCGCTGTCGGGTGCGGCCAGGTCGGGGGATATTCGCCTTGTGGGTCCCCGTCGTCTTCCCCTCGGCGCCTGCGAAGCCCTGCGCCCTGCTCTATTTTATTTTTATTTATTATATATTCCCTTGTATTTGTACGGCGTGACGGCATCTTCTTCTCCTGCTTCGGATGATTTCTCTGGTCGCCAAGAAATCTCGTCGTGGATGATAACATGGAGAATCTCGTCATGGATCGAAAGAACAAAAAGGAACCCTCTCTCTCTCCCTCTCAAAAACAAAAGAGGAAGAACAAAAAAACAAAATAATTAATTGGTTAATATAAGCTGGTGAGGCAAGGCCCAGATGGACAGGCGTTCTACCTGGGCCCGGCCCATGTGAAACCGGTCTGCTACGGAAAGATAAGCTCTCTGCCCGGCCCCGCTGACCACTGTCGCCGGATGCGAACAAGGAGGAGATGAGGCTTCCTGGATCCTGATAAGGACGAGCCGCAAGTGCAGTGCATCGACGCCTTTCCCGGCGGCAGGATGACTGGATGAGATCGAGGCCGGCATGGCTGCTACTGGCGACTCTGGGTAGTGACGCGTGTACGTAGTCGTCGGGTAGCTGCGTGTACGTCTGAGACGAAAAACTCAAAGCTCGTTAGCTCGTTTGGCTTTTGGCATAACGAGCTGAGCCGAGCTAAGATTTTTAGCTCATTAGCTATAATGTGTCAACTCATGAGCCACGTTTCCACAGGAAAGAAAGCAAAATTTATATTAGTTTTTATATTACTTCATGTCTTGCACTTTGTAATTGGTTGATGACTGGTCAAGATCCTATAAACTTTGGGTTATTACGACTGTATCGTTTTATTTTAAATGGATATATGGGTACTTATGGACGTATTATGTATGGTATTGAGTATGGACCATGGATGTATGGTGTAATATTATAGTATATTATTATATTTACATATATGTTAGCATATATTAATTTTTTGTTAGATTTAAGGCTGTTGGATGGGTTACTTTTATATTATTTCTATTCTCAAGCTTTACATAAATATAAATATTATATTTTGTGTACTTTTTTATGTCTGGCTCGCGAGCTTAACGAGCCAGCTTAACCTCGTAAACGAGCCGAGCCGAGCTGGCCTTCTGGCTCGTTAAAATAACGAGCCAAGCCGAGCTATCTTGTTATCTTAACTTGCCAAAAAGAGCTGAGCCGAACTGGCTCGTTATCCAGCCCTAGCTGCATGCATGAGAGAGACACATTCAATTCTTAGCACTTAGCAGAGTGTTTTAGGTCTCTCCAAGCTGTTTTATATTTGTAGCCCCGGGGGCCACGTAGAATCGGATAAAAAAAATATGCTCTACACTTGTTATATTGACTTGCAAAAGCTACATATGCTTGGAGAAATAGAAGATGGTTCATGCTAAAAAAAGAAGAGGTAGAGGAAATAAAAGTGAGGCATGATGAAAGAAAAAAAATTATGTACGAATCATAAGTAGTGATAATTTTTATTGTGTGAATAGTAGTCTTAACATTTCGTAACATAGGTGGATCACTTTATTTATATTAGCACCACTAATAGTGTTATCCTTCTTCAGTGATGCCCTTAGCTAGCTCTGCCAAAGAGGACCTGAACGAGGACGGGAGTATTTGAACGAAAAGGATACGTTTGCACGCATGATGCAGCAGTACACTGAGCTGTAATCTGTTCGCTTGGTCGTATTTATCTTATAAATCATGGTTTATCAGTCAACGAATAGTATTTTTCTCTCATACTAAACTAGCCAACAGTACTTTCAGCCATGGCTTATAAGCCAAGCCCAAACGAACAGGGCTCTGGCGCCATCCATCGACACAGTCTGTTTCGTCTATAAAATGGGTTGCTGTTCAGAGTTGAGAGCTATCAGTATCGATCATTCGTCCATCGTCCATCGTCTCACATATACAGCTCTTTCAGGGTGCGTAGAACAGAGTTGCTGTCCATATATATAGGATCCATATACTAGACATCAGAGTCAGACAGTAGCAGTGGAGATGGGGTCCCTGATGTCCGGTTGGAGCTCATCAGTACTGAGTGACAAGGAAGGTATCAGTATAATAACATGATGTGTCCAGTGTCCTCCATCCATCCATGCATGCAAGCTCAGAGCTTTGTTTGTTTGAGGACTTGCACTAATTTTGTTTGTTGTATCATTCTATGTACAAAACTGTGTTCACATGTGCTTCTGCGTCTGCGTGCCTAGTTCATTTGATGAGGAACCGGTCGCTGACCAAGGAGGACGTGGCGGCGTTCTGGAGACAGCAGCAGCAGCAGCACGGGAGGCCAACAGCGCCGAAGCCAAACGCCGGCTCTCCCCGCGCGGTACGGTACTGCTGCACGTCATTACGCGACAATCTGTTCGATCAGATTGGAGAAATAATTGCACCATATACATGTATAGCTTAATTATCGTTATCTGTTCATCAGGAGATGCTAGTCCCGCTCGCCGCTAAGCGTCGGCTCGAGGCGACGAGGTCCTTGCCTCCGCTTCCAGGCCGCGGCGGCGGCACGAGGAGCAACGACGACGACCTGAAGTGCTGCTCGGCTTACGGTTACGGAGCCGGCGACCAGCGGTTAGTCTCCTCCCGTAGCGAGCCGCCGTCGCCCGCGGCGACGGCCCGCGGGGAGGGCTTCTTCCTCCCCGAGAACGCCGCCGCTGATAGCTCCGGCACGAGCCGCGGCTGGTACGTACTACGCAAGCTACCGTACGTACGTGTTGAGAAGTTTGCAGAACTGAGTCATGTACTGTGCACGCTTGCACATTACATATATGATTCGTATAGGTGGACCCGGAGCAGCTGGGCGTTCCTGAACGAGCCGCCGCCGCTGACAAGGGAGGAGGTGCTGTTGGGCAGGGCGCTGAGGAGCTTCCACGCCGACCGGATCGTCATCACCGGCAACGCCTAGCTAGTCGCACTCGTGTGTACATGACATGCGTCTGGTCCGTGTGCTCGTAGATAGCGCTTTGGCTTGAAGTGTGCACGCGTGTATAATATTCACCTCTTCACCCTGCACGCACTAGCACTAGCTATAGGAGGTTCCATGCGTCATCGAAAGATGTCCTCTCCGTGTAAACAGACCCTGGTTTTGGATCGTTGTTTCTCCGTGTAAACAGATCTTGTTGCTTTTTGGCAAAAGCTACCTACCTGTGCACTGCCTAAAGCGGATTGCATGCCTTATTTGATTGCCCATCTTCGACCTTTGTTGAGAAGTCGATTTCGTTCTGACGGGTAGAAATATATAATCAAACGCTGCAGCGTGTAAAGTTCGGCTTTCGCAGCTCGATCTTGGTTCCATTTTCGCTCACACCAGAGCTGCTGCTGCTGTACGAATACAGCAGCGGCATCAGACCAGTAGCCCAGTAGGCAATGAGCAGGGTGCCTCTCTAATAGTAGCTCTTGCTTTGTATGTTGCAATTGTAAGTCACGACAGTACATCCCAGCTAGAATCGACGAAAGAGGGTCAAGAGAAGAAAACAAAACAAAACAAAATGGGTCCTTCCAGTACCTTCCTCTCACAAACCAGTGTTTACTGTAAAGTTTATCAAAATATCACTAACAAAACCTACTCAAAATCCACGTTTCATCCCTAACACTGACCACCCAGGTATTCCCCTGTGCCATTCGTGAGAAATTTAACGATGAGTGCCGTCTCCTAAAATTTTTTCAAGGATATCGTTTCCTCAGTTTTCACCTCTTGTTGCTTATGAGGTACACAAGATCACCCAAGTGCTGCACTTCCAGGCCCGCTTTCTCGCACCCATCGAAGAAGAGTGATTGGTCCTTTCCGATTCTTCTGCGCCAGCTCATCAGAAACACTGGTGATTTTGCAGGTACTTGTGTTCCTGCCAAGTGAAAGAAATATTTCGCACAACATCCTTGATGATATACAAAATTAAATATATGCCTAGGAAGTACCTGATTTGTTCGTGATGGTTATGCTGTCAGCTTTGTGACCATTCTGCTTGTATTCATTCAAAAGAAAGGACACTGTTTTGATCAGATTGTCATACTGTTTAACATCTGAAAGCAATGGATGTATATCATGTTAGGTCATTCCACCGCACATTGAGATTTGGGAGATCAGGTACCAAGAAATACACTTGGTAACTTACAGAGTAGGATATCGCTTGCAATGACAATGTCCCAATCTGGTCTGGAAACAGGAAATGGGTGTCCCCATGTGTCTGCGTTAAAAAGAAACATGAGAGAATAATTATCCCCTTTTAGGGGTGCATCCATGAAGGACACATTTGGGAAAAAGAAATACTACAAATGTATAGATTTTGTTTGGAATGGTCAGATAACTTACGGCTGATATGAGGCAACACATTCAAGGTATTTGCTCTGCAATTGTAAGCTATATTCTCTTCGATTTCCTTGTCATCGTAATCAGAGGTTGTAATGTCCACCTCAAATGCCTTCCTAAGAAAGATAGCCAGAGCTCCTGTCCCACTATGCAGGAAAGCAGGAACAAATAAAAAAAAACATTCGACAAAAGAAAACAAAATAGAGATTTTGTTTGCTGCACCACAAAATCATTATTACAGTAGGGTATTCAGGTCAAACGAAATAGCCTTTTTGTTTATTATACCAGTATACAACGGAATCATTATCACATCATCCAACCAGCTGCTTAGGACTACAATTTTCTGGTGGATTGACACAATAGGAATGGTTTTGCAAAGTTTTGACAGCATGATAAAAAACACATCACATGACTCAAGTCCTTGGTAACAGCAAAGAAGAAAAACCTGAGAGATGGATGTATCGATATCCTAAGTTACTTATTGAGCCCAACAGGGCAATAACAGGGGTAGTTGTATATATAAAGTGACCGCTTGGATTGAATTGGTCAGGAATGGAAGAAAGAAAAGACGCCGTTAGAGTTAGAGCATAGCACCCATACCTTCCTAATTCCAGGACACGTCGTCCATCCAAAATCGACTGGTTCTTAACCAGCCAAGTAGCAAATGAAAATGTCCCAGGCCACAACAGGTTGGCATTAAGCTCATGGCATGAGAACTCCCTTACACTCAATTTCTGTATATCAATTTTTGAATGGTGAACAAATAGATAAATACGAAAAGGAAAATGAGGACAATCGAGCGCAAGACAGATTAAGAAAAAACTGTAATAATGCAATAAGTAATGGCTATAATGAAATTGAAATCGATAAATTCGCGTAATCTTGTAGAGTAATAGCACAAGTTGAGCAGACTTTGATATAGAATCGAAATAGCCGGTCAGCCATTTTATTTTAAGCATGTGGATTTATCGATGCAGCCCCATGAACTTTACTGTATGCTAAATTGCTAGCACATCCAAGAATGTAGCAACATGATTTTAGAGCAAGCAGCACATCCATATATTTATACTATTCAAAAGTATGCTAAGTCACTAACCAAATATGAAAATCAATTGGGCTAACCCAACTATTCTGGAGCTAGTAACGATATAAAAATCTTCCTCTCTGTCCATTACAGGATCAGGATCGTAAGTATGCTTTGTACTGCATTAACAACCACTCTATTTTGGATTCACTATTATACTTTGCTGAGTTTGGCGCAACATAATTCATGGGGAACCTAAGCTGTGCGTAGTTTAACAATTAGAGGATTACTAAATTGAACCATAGCTGCTGCGTTTTGCATAGCATCATGTTAGTTCTTCAGTGGATCTGCCTTGCCCATAAGGCATAAGGCAATACAACCCCAATAAAACACAAAAAGCACATAGCAAGTCAAAATCCCAAAATGTTCTTTCCTTGTTTCTGTCCATCAGGCATTACTTGTTCATCCATTCTCTAATACTAGGAAAATCAAACTGAAACCCGAGAAGGCGAGAAACCTAAATATTAGTCCAAACTCCAGGCCTTTTCGAATTAACAGAGAAGCACCCTTCCTACAGCAACAGACGGGAACCAAAACGGCGGAATCGTGGAACCATACCATGCCAGGGAAGTCGTGGGCTCTCTCCTCATACTCCAACGCCGCCGGCTTCTTCCCGTCGTCGCGGACCTGCATCTCATCTTCAACCCCGCATAAAAGGCAGCACCGGCCGTTAGGAGCACGCGGTGAGCGACGTAGAGGGGAAGGCGGCGAGGAGGGATGGGTTGGGTTGCTTCGATGCTCATACCTCGGTCGTCGGCGCCGCGGAAGAGGGAGGCGGCGGAGAAGACGGCGGTCTCCATGAGTGGACTCTTCGTTGTTGAGGGTGAGAAGGGGAGGCGCCGTAGGGAAAGGTTTCTCGGCCCAGCCTATATCGCAGTCGGCCTGGAATGACCGAGGACCCGGGCCGGCCATACAAGTCGCAAACCCAGGCCACTGCCCTCCTCCCGACAATGAACAGAGCCGTCCAGTAGGCAAGTTCGGCCTGCAATTTCGGGCGGAGCTCGGCCCTAGTACAGCGAGTTTTCAGTGGGGTCGAGCTGCCAGGGTCAAGAGAAGCGAGATGCCTTCAACCAGGAGTTGTCCAATAAGATGAACGGGCGGGGTCTGACCAAGTTTGAGCAGCATTCGTCAGCAGCTGAATGCTGAAACCACCACGCGCCGATCGATCAGAACAGGAACGATGTATGGTGTGTCGTAGTCACTTACTCGTCTGTCCATGCTAGATGCTAATTGAGTCGAGAAAACCAATGTTTCACACACGAAAAGATTCAACAAAGAAGAAGAGACTGTAGTGCGTCATGTTTATATGACTGCAGCCTGGAGGTGTGAGTGAACTTCGCTATCTAGTGTAATTTTCTGAACGATGAACAGAGACATTTTCACATATGCACCTAATAGATCTTGCCCGCTCGATCGACACAGAACCGCTAGCTAGATTGCTATACATAGTACGTAGTATGCGTAATAAGGAGTACATACATATATATTCTCAAAACTCAACTGTGGTAGAAAAAAAGTTATCATAGGCATACTACTACTGTACAGATACACAAAGGACAACGACGACGATGGTTGCTGGCGTTCTCGATCGACCATCAGGCGTCGCCGGTGGTGGCGATGCGGGCGACGTGGAACTGCGGCGTGTAGCGCTGCGCCCTGGCGGAGGGCTCCTCCTGCGGCGGCTCGTTGAGGAACGCCCAGCTGCTCCGCGTCCACCAGTCGCGGCTCCTGCTGGGGCTGTCCGCCGCGTCGTCGTCTCCGGGTCCGCCGCCCGGGAGGAAGCCGTCCACGCGGACCACCGACGGCTTCTCCAAGCTCCCGAACGGGCTCTCCTGCCACGTCATCGTACACATTCATTCCGTACGTACGTCAGGCCTTTGTGATTTGTGATGATGAGCATGCATGCGCGACGAGACGAGACAGCAAAAACAAGGAACGCCGCAGACATGATGATAGATTCAGTGAGTAGTAAGTGTACGTACCGTGGCGTTGGCCGGCGGCGAGGCAAGAGGCGAGGCGAGCTCGCCGCCGTCCTGCGACGACATCCGACTCCGACGCTGCTGCTTCCAGAACGCCTCCACTTCCTCCTTAGTCAGCGAACGGTTCCGGCGCGCGTGAACTGATCAGTATATATACAGTATTTTACATCAGAGTTCCAGCAGAGAGCTCTAGATCGAGACTAGAGAGATGTGCCCACCTTCTTCCGCGTACCTTTCTTGCCGTCGTCGCCAAGAACCGGCGAGTCCCAGCCAGCCATGAGAGACCCCATCTTGCGTCCCACCAGCACGAGAGCACGAAACTAGTCACGGTTGCAGAAACCCAGGCCGTGACTGAGAGTGACAGAGCCTTATGGTCTTTCAGTTCACACAAACTGGATGAGTACGAGGCAGTAGTGTGTAGTGGTGATCGATAAGCCTTGGCGGCAGGTGGTCGTTTTTATTTTTATATACGCGGTGGGGCTTGACTTTTGAGGCGGCAGCGGCTGCAGAGCACACAGGATTAGCAGCAGAGCACACGGGGTTTCTTCATTTGCACGCGTGGACGATGTCTCTGGAAGATATCATCATGTCATGACAGGCGGGTGAGTGTCCGTCCCTATCTCTGATAATCCTAGTACTGCAAATTGTTATTATTCCCCGGTTATTTTGTTCATAATTCTTAGCACACTACCACTGCTACGGATCGTCCATTGGATGACCATGACGACCTTGAACAAGAATGTTTACTCCTATTTACATTTTACACGAAAGCAGAAAGCCAGCAGCAGATCCGGTTCCTCGATCCTTGTCCTGTGCCATCGTTTTTTCTGAGGGGAACTGGAGGGGTTTGCACCCCTACGCTGCTTTTATTAAAAGAAGGAAATAAACAGTTCTGAAAATAGAGTGCGGCTCCATCGTCATCCTCTCCTCCGGCCGGCCGGGTCGCCCAAAGTCACGGACAGACTCCCCACCATGGGCCATCCCACCAAAACACAGCCATTAAACAAAGAGGTGTCATCCTTATCTCCAAGCTTGGCAGATAATGCATGCGTCGGCATCGCCCGATTATAAATAAGATAAATAAGATAAGATCGACAATGTTAATGTGTAGAATGGAGCCTCGCAAAATATCTTGCTCTCCAATTTGATGGCTTGACGCGGCACGGTAGTGGCGCCACTCGCGAAACGTCCAAAAGCTAGGGTACGTAGTGCTATCGTCCGGCAGTACTCAACTGTTACACTGTCTACAGTCTACACGCCCCGTGCTGCCCGGGCTCCTAGTCCTGCTAGTAGGACAAGCAAAAATCATTATAACAAAGCTACTTAAAAAGTGTACCAAGTAATAAAATTACAAAAATTATGTATGGTTAACTACTAGCTAGCAGAGTTAGCCACTAACCAGTCCTGGTCCCATACAATTTCTAGATCTGTCACTAGACCTCGTTGGTTCAGATTCTCTAACTTGCCGAAGGAAAGTCATCGGTGACTTACTCCATGCCCGATGCCCTTAATTTCACATCCAACGGCTGATAGAAGATGTCACTTTTCCACCCCAAGTAGCAAAGCTCAGCTGTGGTTTTGGCCCAAATATAGCCCAACTCGGGATTGTTATATATGAAACTGAGAAATAACAGATAGTTTTACTAAGTATTTTCATAGCAAAATTAAACGGGCATTTTACTAAGTATTTTTAGTGAGCAATACTATGGTAACCTCTTTACTTAGTAGGAGGTAGTACCTCAAATAAATCTAATCCCTTTATTTTTTATAGTTTTTTGAATTAATTATTAATTAATCTATGAAAAGAAAAAGAGATATAGTCAAATCCTCCTAATCAGCACCTTCCTTGCCGCACCTTTTCTTGTGCTCGTCTTTTTCCTTTTTCCTTTTTCCGTTCTGTGACTGTGCATAAATATTTTATCCTACTAAAATAACTGATAAAGCATACAGTATATCTTGAATGCAAATTCAAATAATCTTTTTTTAATTCACATACTCAGTTAAAAAATATGTTATATACATAAAAAAATATCAACATCTAATTAACACGTTAACTGAATCATGAACGTTGACGATGTAAAACATATTACACGCTAACACGAACGTGAACGTCGACGATCTAAAATATACATGTTATTAACACGTTACATAATTGAGTATGTACGTTAGCTGACTCGATTAAAATATGTTACATAATTGAGATGCTCTTCTAATAAAATACAAGCTGTCATATATATTAAACACGTAAAATGGCCATGTAAAATATCATGTACGCACCTAAAGTTTTTTTTCTCTATGTCAGGTATTGGACACGTACGTAAGTTCCGAAATTTATAAGACATAAACTTGTAGTGGAGGTGGAGCATAGCATCTAGTTTCGGATTTTCAATGAAATGATTAAAAAGTCTTTTATTTCCATCAAAAAAAAATTGCGCCAAAAAAAATTCCGCGCATGGGGGAGGGCAGCCAACCACGTGCGGCCATATTGGGCCAGAATCACCGGTGCTGGGCTTTGCCATTGTGGTGGAAAAGTTGCTTTCTTCTTTCAGCCGTTGGATGTGGAATGGAGGGCATCGGGCATGGCATAAGTCACCGGTGACTTTTCTACAGCAAGTCAGAGAATCTGAACCCACCAAACGCTACTCCATAAATGCAGCTTAGGCTGCTTAGCTGCTTAATAAGCAGGTCCAATACAGCGCTGACTAAGCACAATTCCATAACAACGATTTAGAAGTCCCCGTTTATAATCCAGATTTTATTTTGGGCATAATATAGCAGGTACGTCTATGTACAAACGTGCTTGAGATGAAGCGATCGGCCACCGAGCAGAGGCAGCGACAAACTGATAGTAGGCCGGCCCGCTATCGAGTCCAGTACTCCAGTCGGACAACCTGCTTCGTGAGCCCACTCTGGGAGATTCCACAGGGGTGGAGGTGGTGTCTCCTCCTCAACCGGCGGCCGACGACCTAAGTAAGCGCCGCCGCCATGCTGCGACTCCGAAACAGCCTCCTCCCTCTGCTCCGCGCAGCCTCCCCGCTTCCCTCCCCCATCCACATCCACCCCTGCGCGTGCCGTCTCCTCTCCACCTCCACTTCCGCGGCCACTGCGGCGTTCTCGCTCGAGGACTACCTTGTCGCCGCCTGCGGCATCGCACCAGCCCAAGCCCGCGAGGTGTCCAAGAAGGCGCTCCACCAGTTATCCAAGATCACACACTCCCGCTTCATCTCCGCCGCCTCCAACCCCGATGCCATCATCGCCCTGCTCTCCGGCGTCGGCCTCTCCCGCGCCGACATCGCCGCCGTAGTCTCGGCGAACCCGCTGCTCCTCCGCGCTTCGGTGAAGTGCATCTCGCCCCGCCTTCTTGCTCTCCGAGACCGGGCCGGTCTTTCTACTCCCCAGATCGCTCGCTTCCTCCTGGTCAGCCCACATGCTCTCTGCCGCAGCGACGTCATTCCCAAGCTTCAGTTCTTCATCTCCTTCTATGGCTCGTTTGAGCAGGTCCTGGTGGTCCTAAAGAGGAATGATCGCCTCATGACGGCAAGCCTTGAGAGGTTAATCAAGCCTAACATAGCTTTGCTTCGTCAGTGGGGTGTTCGAGATATTGTTCAGTTGTGTTCAAACAACGCGTGGGTGCTTACCTTCAACCCGGAACGCGTGAAAGAATTTTTGCTACGGGCAGAACAACTTGGGGTGCCTCCCACTTCGCGGATGTTTAGGCACGCGGTGGCGGTCGTCGCCGGTAAACCCAAAGAGAAGGTTGCTGCCAAGCTCGAGTTCTTTAAGAGGACTCTTGGTTGTTCTGAATCTGAGGTTTCAACTGCAATGTGCAAGGTGCCAGCTATATTAGGATTGTCTGACGAGATTCTTCTTCGCAAGATTGAGTTCCTTGTCAATGAGGCTGCAATGGAGCCACGGCACATTGTGGAAAGGCCTGTCCTGCTGGCATACAGCCTGGAGAAGAGGCTAGTGCCGAGGCATTATGTCATGAAGGTCCTGCGGGAAAAGGGATTGCTGAGCAAAATGAGCCTTTACACACTTGCAAAATTAGGAGAGGAGACTTTCAAACTGAGATTCATCGATTGTCACAAGGACTCTGTTCCTGGCCTTGCCGATGCTTATGCTACAGCTTGTACTGGTATTGTTGTGCCCTCTAGAGTCTAACTTTAGCATCTCCTTTTGTGTTTAGGTGGATGGTGGGACTACAATTCATGCTCATTAGCAGATGTCCACTGTGCAGGCCTTCTCAATTCTGGTTTCTGCAATAGAATCACCAGTTATCTCTGACTGCTCATAGACCTGCAATTCTGATTTCTGCAGAGTGATCTCTGACCGCTCATAGTCCAAATTTAAGTTATGGTTATTATTTATGGAGGAGCTGGGTTTGACTTGTTCTAGAGGCTAAATGTGCATGTTTGTTATTTTCTTGCTCTGCCTAGCTCATTGCTGAAGGTTATCTTACCTTTTCTTTTGTGAATAAGTTTGTATTGGACAACTTATTACGCTATTTTGAATCTGTAAGCATGTTTTTATTCCAGGTGATGTGTTTACCTAATTCTCACTAGCTAAATGAATTATTCTTTTCTTTTGTTCTAGTGATGCTTACTATTTACATGATTGAGGCTGAACTAGTAGATTGTAGGTAGTGGCCTAAAGTGCTACTGAAATGAAACTCTCTGGAACAATTTTGTAAAGCCCATGTTGTAAGGACCAATGAAATATTCTAAGAAATGTTTTGGGTGCCATGGATGTTCTGCCCATGTGCAAAAGATGGTTCTCTGTTTGGCTTGTAGGGGAATGAGATGCTAACAGCTGAAAATAAATGGCAAGCTGTAAGGGAGACGCTCGAGTTCGTATGAGAGGATACTAATTTAGCATAGAGATAATATACACCTTTTATAATTTATAATTAGCCAAGTGTTCTTAAATCTAAGTCCCAAAATCGTTTATTGCCATTTTTTTAGTTATGTGATTTTAAGGAATTCATCTCGAAACATTTCTACTTTTATAGCATGTGGATGATAGATAGCAGGCATGGTACTATTTATAAGGTTCTCCACATATGTCATATACCTTGCATTCTGGGTTCACATCAGTTCACATGATGGGTTTACACTATTTGTAAGCACTACTGTCAGTCGTGGAATTACCCTCCTACAATGAATGGATGTTTCTGCGCTAAATAAACAGAAATTTTGTCCTTCAAAAGTTGAAATAAGGAACATATTGTAATAACATCTTTGTAGTATTGTTCCAACTTCCAATCAAATTTAAACACAATCTGACCTTAGGAAATTAGTTCTGATGATCAATAATCCTTACTTCTAGACATCAGTTTCCAGAAATTCTCTCGAACTTCTGTTTCTCAACAGCCCATGTCTTAAGACTTGAAAAGCCCCATGCTTACGGGCATGAAAATTTGAGTTATCGTACTTGTTGGCATTGTTAACCCTCATTGTCCTCACTGGAATCTTAGCCCCGTTCAGATTATGTAGCACAGAATCAATTGAAACTGCATCCAAATGTGAACAAATGACAATAAGAAAAAAAAAAATCCTCACTCCCCAACTGTTGAAGCCATTTGGCAATTTCTCATTTGTTTGGAAAGAGATTTAAGTTCAGGGAGGAATGAAATCTTTCCCACTCATTCATTCGTTTGATCATACTACAATATACAAAATTCAAGGAAACAATAGGAGACAAGAAGGAAGGTGAATCAATGAATCATCAATCGCTCATGCCCACACTCGCTTCTTTGGGGAAAAAGATCGATCTATCAGATTTGTTCCTAGGACGTGAAAATGAGGGACTGGAAGTGCAGAATTTGAGCTATCTTGTGTACCTCATGAAAAAGAACTGAGAATTCAGGAGACGAGGCATATTGTTCTGCTTGCTTTCAGTTACAGTAGGAAATGGGTGGAAAGGGAACATGTGGACTAATCATTTTTTAGTCTGTAGAAATGTCATGAAACAGAGCATCTTGTTTGTTGATTCTTGTCATGTTTCTCCGTTTTTCTTGTTTAAATCTTGATCAGACAGAGGGAGAGAATTATCCTTCTGATGATTTGTTACATCTTCCTGTGTGATGATCTCGAATCCATCTTTTGATGGGCCACAATTTTCTAACACTTGATCTGTCATGTTTGTGAATCGTACCAGGCTACTGCTTACTGCAGAATTCTGCAGTCTGAATAACATCAGCCTGTTCGGGAGGCCGTATCGTATCGTGGATTATTTACTGCTGGCTGGTTTGGTGTGAGAGAAAAACATTGTTCCTGGCTGGAAATTTACGATCTTGCTACTGTCCTCAATGAAGCCCTCAATTTCCACGATACGGCATTCTTATCAGATTGTGAGCAGCTGGTGGACTTCCTTGGTCAAAATGACCACACCCATCCTCCAGATTGGAGAATTAAGTTCTTCACTCAGCTGTTCATCAACAGTTCTGCTCGGAGCCATGCCCAGATCTTCAAGATCAGTAGGAACCTAAACTCGACTGCCGATAGCCTGGCTAGACAGGCTCTCTCTGCTTCTGGTTCTACTCTTGAGCCTGCGTGCTCTTATTTGCATCACCATCTTCAGTGCCCGCTTTCGGCTGCACTGCCTAGTGTAAACATGCAAGCTGTAACCATACTTTCAGCTTCATGCTGCTAATCTAAATCTGTTTGTTGTAAAAAAAAAACATGTGCAAATAGTTAAGATGTGATGCATGTCAAATCCTTCACAGCACGATAAAAATCACGTTTAGGGGAAACGTACCATATTAGGTCTTGATTGGGTGCATATGTATTTATTCCAATCCACATGGGTTGAAGTGGATCGGAGTGGAACTAAATTAAGTTTTATTCCAATCCACTCTAACACATATGGATTGAAGTGGATACATGTATCTAAACAAAGCCTTAGAGTTCAGACCTACAGATGATGACATGATAAATCTGTGGCCATTGAGTATCTGCATGACGCATGTGAGGATGAGAGGAGATCCCGTTGTCACCAAAGCAATTCATTTCTACCCGCTCTAGCTGAATAGTAATCGGCCCTTTTGCTTCACCTACAGTACTTCAGAGGATGAGATGATAACTTGCGGTGCGTACCACTTCTCGGATGGCCGCCGTGAGGCTGCAATGGAGCCTCAATACATTATTGAAATGCCTGCCCTGTTCTCATTGACCGTGGAGAAGTGGCCAAAGACTAGGCATTGTGTCACGAAGGTCCTGCAGGAAAAGGATAGCTGAATACGACATGGGCCCATTCGTATGGTTTTAAATCCGGCTTGATCCGTTTCTTTTTTCATCAGAAACGATATTTTTCTTTCACAGATTGCTCTAGATTCATCCAAATTTCTCTAGATTCCTTCAAGTTACTCCAGCGAACGGGGCCATGAGCTTTTACAAAATAGCTGTACTTGGAGAGACTCTCAAATCGAAGTTCATCGACTGTCACAGGAACTCTGTTGCTACAGCTCGTGCTGGTATTGTGCCATCTAAAGTCTAATTTTTGGCATCTCCTTTTGTGTTTTAGGAGGATGGTGGAATAGAACTGCAATTCATGACCTCATTCGCTTCTCTTATAATCCGTATTTTTCAGCTTGTTTTTTCAGTCGGAACAATATTTTTCTCTCACAACAAATCAGCCGGAATAGTGTTTCGGCTTGTTTTTTCAGTGAAACGAACGGCCCATGCTCATTGCAGGTGTCCACTGTGCAGACCTCGTTGTTTCTGCAATAAAATCACCGGTGATCTCTGACTGTTCATAGTCCAAGTGTAAGTTATGGTTATTTATGGAGGACTTGAGTTTGATTTGTTCTAGCCTTCTATAGACTTAATTCACATGTTTGTTAGTTTCTTGTTTTGCCTAGCTCATGGCTAAGGGTATCCTTAACTTATTGTTTCTTCCGTGGATAAGTCTGTGTTTGAGAACTTATTACGCTATTTATAATCTAATAGTATCGTATTTAACCATTTTTTGTTAGCATGTTTTATTCCAACTGATGCTTACATAGGTCTCACTAGCTGAATGGATTTTTTTTTTGTTTCTACTTTCTACTGGTGCCTACATTGTACTTAGGCTGCAAACATTTGCTAATTTGGATTTGGGTAGTGTGGGTGTGGCTGCAAACGATAAAGGCAGCCAGTGCTGCTAGTCTTGCATTGGGTTGGGAGTTGGGACACTCGGTCATGCTTTTTTTTTTATCTTTCTAACTAAAAAACTAATATTTTTAAAAGAGCATGTTCTAAACTAATTTTTTAAAAATAACCATTTTAGTCGCACTAGAGATCTTGGCGCGACTTGTAACTACCATTACAGCAAATGCATTAACGTGATTAACCACGCTGGTGGCATTGAGCAAAATAACACCATCACGGATGGTGTGACTGGCCTGCTGAGTCATGCCAAAGTGGACGACGTGACTGCAGTAGGTGAGTCACGACGGCGTGGGTGAGGTGAGTCACGCCAAACCCCATGGCATGGCCATGCTTGTGTACGATTGTTAGCTTGTGCCCATTACTTAATACAACAGCGTTTTGGTTTTTTTTTTTTTTTGCCGATCGAAAATAAAGGATTTATTTATGTATCTCTAAAATTCTTTAAATTTTCTATATAGATGCTAGAAAACAAGCATGACCTATTTTACTTTTATTTAGCATTATACCACTTGTAGTTTTGAAATTAAAACTTTCCCGTAATACTATATTTGAATCTTAAGGTAAACTGTTTAGCCTGAAAATAGACTCTGAAAGTTTGGAAAAAATTATCTAAATTTTTGGTTCAGAAAGTATATTTTGTCATGTCATTTTTCAATATACTCCGTACGTGTTAGGTCATCAACTATGGTGGAAAAAAACAAATTTATTTAAAAGTTGAGAGCGGTAAAAAACAGCTTTACAGATGAGGAAGACAAATGGGACGACCGCGGAAAAATGGTGACAACGAGTTTTTCCCTTTTTTTTTTAAGGAAGGTAGGCATATGTTTTCATTTCAAAATGTTTACATCAAGGAACATAGGAGGGGAACCAAGCCAAACATGCCGGCCAGTTCCAAATGAACATGTATACCTTGCAAGATAACGAGCCTTCCAATTAAACTCTCTACCTTCATGTGTAAAGCGCACACAATCAAAGGATTTGTCTGATAAATATCTCGAAGGATCATCATACGCCACCACCTCCCCTCCGCCGCCGACATGCTGCAACTCCGAAATCGCCTCCTTCCTCTGCTCTGCGCCGCCTCCACGCGACACTCCCCAATCCACCCCCGCGCATGGCGCCTCCTCTCTGCCTCCACCACCCTCCCTGTGGCCTTCTCCCTCGAGGACTACCTCGTCGCTGCCTGCGACCTCGCCCCAGCTCAAGCCCGCGAGGTGTCCAAGAAGTTGTCCCGCGAGTTATTATCCAATGGATCTAGGAGATCATTGGATGAGCTCTCCTACTCCCGCCTCAACTCCGCCTTCAACCCCGATGCCATCCTCGCGCTGGCCTCGCCCGCGCCGACATCGCCACCGTCGTCTCCGCGGACCCGCTGCTCCTCCGCGCTTCTGTGAAGAACCTCGCTCCCCGCCTTCTGGCTCTCCGCGACCGCGTCGCCTTGTCTACTCCCCAGATCACTCGCTTCCTCCTGGTCACCTCACGAGCTCTCCGCGAGGGCGACATCACTCCCAGGCTCGAGTTCTTCATCTCCTTCTGCGGCTCGTTTGATCGGGTCCTGGTGGCAGCAAAGAGGAGCTGGGGCCTCCTCTCGGCGAGCCTTGAGAAGATAATCAAGCCCAACATAGCTCTGTTTTTTCAGCGCGGTGTTCCAGATGTTGCTAAGGTGTGTTTACACGACCCACGTGTTAACTACGACAGCAGCTGACCGACCGGAGTCAGGGAAGATGAACAGGAAAATACGAATACAAGATAGGTTCTGGCCGGCGGCCAAGTGCTTGGAATTTAAATGTAATACAAATAGTTGCTTAGGGTTTTTGATAGCCGGCCAATCTCACACTCCTCTCATACTTGTACTCCTCACTCCGAGCTGGGCTTCACTTAGCAAGTGCTGCAGGTCCATTCTGGCCCAGCTATCTTCACGTTCCGCACTCACTTCCTAGTAGATGCCTTGGGCTGCCGAGATGCTGACGGGTCGCCTGGGTGAGGCCTGCTGACATCCCTCCCCCCTTGAGACGCGGCATGTCCCTATGCCAGCGCTGCCGGAAACTTCTGCTGCAGGGCTTGAGCGTCCTCCCAGGTGGCGAGCTCTTCGTCGAGGTTGGACCATTTGATCAGCAGCTGCTTGACGGAGTGCGGCCCGCGCTGATGAAGACGAGTCTGCAGAACTCGCTCAGGCACCCGGAGCATGTCGTCGAGGTCAGGCAGCGGCGTCGAGATTGCCGGCGCGGACGGGGGAGCCGGCTTGAGGAGGGACACGTGGAAGACCGGATGCAGCGACGATGAAGGAGGAAGTGCCAGCTTGTATGCCACCGTACCGATCTTGGGGATGATCTTGAAGCAGAGCTTGTTATGTGATCGAGGCGCCATCGAGGACTAAACATACGGCTGCAACCGGAAGAAGACGGAGTCCCCAATGCTGAAGGTGCGCTCGGAACGCTTCTTGTCCGCCTGTGACTTCATCCGTGGCTGGGCTTGGAGAAGATGTTGACGGATGGCGACGAGCATGGTGGCACGATCCGCCAACAGGGTGGAAGCATCCGACACAAGGGAAGCAGACGCATCAGAAATACCGAAATGACGTGGTGAGTGACCGTACAGTACCTCGAATGGTGAACGGCCGAGAGCAAAATGTTCACTGGTATTGTACCGATGCTCCGCGAGTGGCAACCACTTAAGCCACTGTCTTGGACAAGAATGCACGAAGCAGCGAAGGTATGTCTCCAGGCACTGGTTGACGCGTTCCGTCTGACCATCTGATTGCGGATGTTAGGCCAGGTTCACTTGAGCACGGCTGAACAATTCCTTCCAAAACAGGCTCGTGAAGATCGGGTCCCGATCAGAAATGATGTGTGTGGGCAGGCCATGAAGTCTGAAGACACCATCCAGAAACACCTGGGCAACCTTCTGAGCAGTATACGGATGGCGAAGTGGAAGGAAATGTGCAAATTTACTCAACTTATCAACAACTACCAGTATGCAGTTGGCGTTACCGGAAGTGGGCAGGCCGTCGATGAAGTCCATGGATATCATTTGCCAAGCTTCAGTTGGAACCGGCAACGGAGACAGGACCCCAGGGTAGCGGACGCGATCTGGTTTGGCCTGAAGGCAAACTGTGCAGCCAGCAACAAAGGATTTAACAGCAGATTTCATGCCACGCCAGTAGAATAGCTTCTTGATGCGACTGTATGTGACCGAAAACCCAGAGTGGCCGCCAAGTGCACTGTCGTGCAGAGCAGAAATGATGCGCTGCTGTAACTGCGGATTGGTACCGATCCAAATACGCCCAGAATACCTGAGAATTCCATTTGTCAAGGTGAACGGCGGCCGTGCCGAGGGATCAACTGACAGCTCTTGCAGTAGCTTGACGGCTTCAGGATCCCGATCATATCCGGCGACAACCTCAGCCAACCATGCTGGTGTAGATATAGATAGAGCTTGGAGTTGAGCAGGAGGTGCAGGGTGTCGTGACAGAGCATTGGCTGCAGCATTTGAAGTACCCCGCTTATAGACAATCTTGTATTGTAAACCAGCCAGTTTGTGATGCATCTTGAGCTGCCACTGTGTGTTAAGCCTCTGATCAGTAATGTGCATGAGGCTTCGTTGATCAGAAAAGATCGTGAACTCCGAATGCTGAAGATATGACCGCTACTGCTCAACTGCCACGAGTATAGCGAGGAACTCCTTTTCATACGTGGACAAGCCCCGAGTCCTTGGCCCCAGAGATTTGCTTACGAAGGCTAAGGGATGGCCATCCTGTAACAACACAGCACCCACACCAGAGTCGCTGGCATCAGTCTGTAGCTGAAACGGCTTAGAGAAATCCGGCAAGGCAAGAACAGGAGCTGTCATAAGGACTGATTTTAGAGCGCTGAAAGCAGCAGAATGTGCCGGTGTCAAGACAAAGAGAGCACCCTTCTTGAGCAAATTTTTGTAAGTGGCCGGGCCAGGACAACAAAGTTTTGCACAAATTTCCGATAGTAGCCAGCGAGGCCTAGAAAGCTACGCAGTTCTTTGATATCTTGGGGCTGTGGCCAAGCTTGTATGGACTCAATCTTCTCAGGATCTGTGGAAACCCCCTGGTGACTGACCACATGACCGAGATAGGAAATAGATTGTTGGGTGAACCGGCACTTGCTAAACTTGACCTTCCACTGATCACGGGCCAACAGAGTAAAAACCTGCCGAAGGTGCTCGATATGTTCCTCGAGTGTCCTGCTGTAGACCAGAATGTCATCAAAGAATACCAGAGCGCACTTGCGCAGTAGTGGTTTCAGAGTACTGTTCATAGCCCCTTGAAATGTGTTCGGAGCGTCGGTCAAGCCAAAGGCCATAACAGTAAACTCAAATTGCCCCCAATGTGTTTGAAACGCCGTTTTGTGTTCCTCGCCAGGAGCCAACCTTATTTGATTGAAGCCAGCCCTGAGATCTAAGCAGGAGAACCACTTGGCCTAAGATAGCTCGTCAAGTAACTCATCCACAACCGGTATAGGAAACTTGCTCTTGACCGTGAGAGCGTTGAGCATCCTGTAGTCGACGCAAAAGCTCCAAGAGCCGTCCTTCTTGCGGACTAACAGGATGGGCGAAGAAAAAGAGCTTGAACTCGGCTGAACCATTCCAGTTTGGAGCATGTCAGATACCTGCTTCTCGATTTCGTCCTTGAGCGCGGGCTTATATCTGTACTGGCGCACAGCAACAGGAGGGGCACCCGGCACCAAGGGTATATGATGATCGCAATGTCGCCTGGGAGGCAGCTCGGTTGGTTCTTGGAAGAGCTCAGCAAACTCCTCAATAAGCTGGCTGATAGCTGGAGGAACTTCAGATATACCAGATGCCGGGGCCGCTGCCGCAATGTGAAGAAGTTCAAAGGCTGGTGGAGGGTCTGATTCGGACAAGATACCTTGAAGCAAGATGTGGCCAGATCCGTAGGGAATACTCATCCATTTCTGATTCCAATCCACCTTCATTGGCGAAAACGCTTCGAGCCAGTCCATCCCGACAATCAGATCATAAGAACCCAGAGGCAGGATTCTGAGTGTTGAATGGAACAAATGGCCTTGTAAGCTCCATTCAGCATCAAGGATTTGCGAAGAACACTTCAAGATATTACCGTCAGCAACGCGAACTGACACCGGCGCAGGCAGAGGCTGAACATCAAGGAAGTCAGCAGCAAAAGTAGCATTGAGGAACGAGTGACTGCTGCCGGAGTCCACCAACACTACTGTCAGTCCTGACCACGGCGATGTACGCCGGCGGCGAGGACGAGAGCTCTGTGAAGAACTCAACACAACACACACACGATCACTTGGACTCGAGAGTTTTTGGTGCTGCGCACAACCTGCAGCTTTTCTGTTTTTCTTCTTCACCTTTTATTGGAAGGAAATACAGCAGAGATCAGGATCGTGCCGCTGCTCCTTGCGGCTTTGTCGCGTGTCCATCCCCACGCCCGCAAGTGCGCTCACGTCCGTATCCCAGGCATCGTGGACGAGCTATTCTCGGCCCACGGCCTCCTACGCGCACGGCTGCCACAACCTGGAGCTCATGCGCTGCTAACTGAACTAACTGAATGACAAAGCAACTAACTGAACTAAGTGAATCCTATGAACAAGAGTTACTAACAACTACCATGTCACGGCCACGCATCTGACCCTTAAGCTGCAATGTACGCGGAGCAGACGTGGCCGAGAGTGCTGCTGAAGAAACCATCAGTAGCACCTGCTCCGAAGCTTCAGGCTCAGACTCTTGGGCAATATCAACGTCAGGGTCTTGCAACGCGTCCAAGCACAATGCCCGCATTTCCTGAAGAGCATGGGCCTGAGGGACTGGCGCACAGCGATGTCCGGGTACCCATTTCTCTCCACAGCGGACACACAGACCACGATCCTTGCGATAATCTCTGAGTGTGGAAAGCTTGTCGTCGACAGATGTAGTACGGGGAACAGCACGCTTGTCGTCTGCATTCCGACCAGCTGTAGGGGCATCACCAGGAGGAAGGCAGGGTGGAGGTGGAAGAGGCAGCGCTCCCTTGAGTATAGCCGAACGGGCAAAAACTGACCCGTCCGACGTCTTGAACTCCTCGCGGCAACCCTGGTCCAACGCCTCCTCCTGCAACAATGCGAGGGTGCAAGCAGTATCTAAATTTTGCGGACGCGCAACCATAACAACAGAACGAATGTCCTCGCGTAAGCCATCGATGAAGCGAGTAGTAAAATAGAGCTTGTCAGGGTTGGGATTATAGACTTTGAGCTGTTCGTACAGATCAGTGAACTTCTCAATGTAATCAAAGACGGTGGAAGTGTGCTTGATGTGGAACAGCTGATGTAACAGCAGTTCATGCTGATCACGGCTGAATCTCTCATGAATAAGGATAGCGAAGCTTTCCCAGGAGATGTTCTGG